CTCTCTCTCTCTCTCTCTCTCTCTCTCTCTCTCTCTCTCTCTGATCGTTACTGGCCGGCACGTTGCTGAAGGAATCGATGGAAGCACTCACTCGATCGATTGTGGTCATGCTTTCGATGCAAAGTTGCGCGAGGTCAGCCTGAACCGAAGTGCTCTCTCTCTCTCTTTGTCTCTCTCTCTCTCTCTCTCTCTCTCTCTCTCTCTCTCTCTCTCTCTCTCTCTCTCTCTCTCTCTCTCTCTGTGTTACATGCTGAAAGCCTACACACGGGTCCCTCACGGGACCTGAAGTTGGAATAGGGCCCCCAGGTCGCGTCACCGCAACCTGAAGGCCCTATGGCATTTTTACTTGGGCCTGCATCAGAAAAACGCCAGCTTTAGATTATTTTTATATTCTTTTATTTATTTATTTGCTGCTGTTTTTCTAATGTGTGTACTGTTGTCCGTTTTGTGGCCAGGTACACGTTTTAGGGCCAGGGGCAGAGTCAGGCCCAGAGGTTGAACCTCTAAAAACGTTTGGACCTTTTCTTTTGTTTTCGAACAGATTTTGAACCTGTTCGGACCCAGGCCGACGTTGAGGCCGGGTACGTCCCCACAGGACTGGTTTCAAGCCAGGTACCAGGAAGTTGAATCCTGGACAGGGCCTGGATGTCCGGTAGGGACCCAGGCAGGCCGTTTTAGCCCAAGGGCTGAACCACACGTTCGGGCCTGCGATCTGAACTGTGGATCTGAACGGTCCAGGTCGAAGGCCGTGGGCTTTCAGTCCTGGCCCAGCGCTACTTAAGCTGGGCCATGGCCCAGTTCTACACACAGAAGGTACGAGGAGAAATCCCAGCGTTATGCTGGTTCAGAGTTCCCCCTGCTGCGCTATTTTGGAGAACTGCCGCTGCGCTAATTTTGGCTGCGCTATTTTGCTGCGCTGTTCTACTGTGCTAGCTGGGGGAAAGCTGCGCTCTTGGGAGATGCTGCTGCGCTAACCCAGCGCCAGAGAGAGAGTTAGAGGAGTTAGTTGGAGAGAGGGAGAATGAAGAGGACTTACCTGTACCAGCGCCATAGCTGGCTTCGCTGTACCTGCAGTTCAGCCATCCGCCAGGTAAGTGCAGAAAGCGCCTAGCTTTCTTCTTCTTCTTCTTCTTCTTCTTCTTCTTCTTCTTCTTCTTCTTCTTCTTCTGCTTCTGCTTCTCTCCTCTCCTCCTCCTACTCCTCCGAAGTGCTT